TTTTTAATATTTAATTTAATTTTTTCTCTTTTTCAAGGGAGACCTGCAAAGTTGGTTACACATGAAAATATAAAAACAACAGAAAACAATAAGGACAACATAATTACAGGGTACAATTTACAAACCTATCGACATTGACAGGTACCAAGATGATCATATTGCATCGCATCTAGCCGAGCTTTAAAACGATGCAGGGGAACCAAGATGCTCAGTTTCAGTTAGTGTTCCAAGCTAGAGGAGCTGCGCACATAAAAGCTTACCAAAAACAGTCCTAGCACTTGGCACATGTAACAAAAACACATCCTGAGATCTCAGGCTACTTGCAAATCTCTGAGAGATCAGAGAGCAGATGTAAGATGGGAGTTTACCCAACATGGCTTTGTAGATGAACATGTAGCAGTGACTGAGCCGCCGTACAGTTAGTGAAGGCAGACCTGCCCTGGCATACAGGGTACAGTGATGAGTTAATACTTTACAGTTAATAACATATCTCAGCGCACTGTGATAGGCGGCATCTAACTTGTTCAGGTTGGTGCATTCATATATATCAGATCACCATAATTGTTATGAACATTTTCACTTTAAATTATGTTTTCATAAACGTACGATTTTGAATGCAGGACTTTTACTTGTAACAGTATTTTTACATTGTAGTGTTTCTGCTTTTAATACTTTACTCTACTACATTTACTTTAAAGGGGACCTATCATGCAAAATGCACTTTGTGATGTCTTCTCTACATCAATGTGCCCCCGGTGTGTCAGGGAACTCACGCAGCGTCAGAAAATAAAACCCTCTCTCTTTTCCTCCGTACCCAAATCTCTAAAAACGGGGAACAACGGAGCTGATCCAGATTTGCGTCCGATATGACGTAATATCTGAAATGTGGACCCACGGCCCAATCAGAAACGTTGCTATCAGAAACAATGCCCGACTGCTTTGGACGTAATATGGTCGGTGTTTACATTAGCATCGCTAACACTCAGAGCTAACCTGTACTGGAGAGCATGTGTGTGAAGAAGCAGGAAGTAAAAAGGAACTCACCTTGTGGTATAACCGGCAAGAGAGAAAGCCTTTGAGCTCCAGACTGTTTCAGAGAGAATCCTTGATAATCCATGATATGGCGTTTCATCACGGCAGCATTTAGTTTAGACAGTAGCTGCCGGGTCCCGCATGAGCTCAGACCCCTCCTTTTAATTAATTTCTTTTTTTTTTAAAGCTTTATACCCAGAATCAGCACTTTAGAAACAGGAAGTGAAATAGAGGGATATGAGGCATGGCTAGAATGGGTGGTCTGTTTGGTATTTTGAGCAAAGCACTTCATAGACATGTTTTTTATATATTTGTATCTGAGACCTATGCTATTGCCTACACATAGCATGATAGGTGAGCTTTAAGTACAATATCTGAGTACTTCTCCCACCTCTGATAGCATGTCGGTGTTAGCCACGGGAGGAATCATCTCTGCAGGAGGAATATAAAAGGGTTTCTGGTTCTGGAAGGTAAACGCTCTAAAAATAGCTTCAAATAACCACTGAGAGAAGAGGCCAAAATATTCAGGAGAGCCAAAGAGAGATACTGCTGAACGACAAGCTGTAACAGAGATACTGAATATATAACGTTGTAAAGGCCTTCAGCTCAGAGGGGCCCTCCTTGGAGTAAAAGGTTTTCAATGACATTCAATATTATTCATTGATCATATTTTATTTATTGCTTGTCTCTGCGCATTTTAGCTTGAGCCCTTTATGTATATAGATATATTTATTCTATTTTATTGGTATTACAGAATCTTACTTACGATTTTTTTTTATTCAAGTCAATATAAATATTTTATTATATTTTATTTTTATTATTTCTTTATTGTATATTTAACCTCCTATGTTTTCATATTTCCTGCTATTTTATTTCATTATTTATTTGTGATTGCACATCTTTACTTTAACTTAAATGTATGTAAATATTATTATTATATTGTATTTGTTTTATTATACACATTTAACATAGCTATTTAAATGTTATATTTATCTTCCATTTAATTGTATTTCCATATTTAATTTTTTTACATTTGACTTTATTTTCCTAAATTTGTGTTAAATATTTGAAATATATTTAGTTTTATTACATTTTTGATCTCATATCTATTTTAATATTTTATTATGAATATTGTACAATTGTTCTTAAGTGTCTAATGTGTAACTGAAGTTCTGACCTCCACCACTAATTGCATCAAAGTGAGATCCGTTAGTGAGTCTCTTATTAGATGTATTTGACTCAAACTGGCTCAAAATGTGTGATTGTTGTTTTATTGCTCGATTTTAATGTGACTTTTTTTACTACCTCTGTACAGCGACTTGAGCACCCGTAAAAGCGCTTACAAAATACATGTATTATTGTTATCCTTATTATTATTATATATACATCTTGATAGAAAGTCAGATTCAGTCTGCAGTGAGCTGAAGCTTTTCATTCCACCTTTTAAATTGAAGCAGTTTTATTCTGAGCACCGGCCCTTCGGCTGCTCTCATGGTGTCTCATGGAGTATTCTTCACCATCATCCTCCTCATCTTCATCAGAGAGTAGGAGGATCTCTTCAGGCTGCATTAGCAGTGAGGAGGAGTCGTGCTTTCACTCAGTGCTGCTATAAATCTGCAGTATTTGAATGTGAGAGAGACCGTGTGATTAGACCTGTCTTTTTGGTGAGGAGCGGAGATAAGCTGCTCTGCTTCACAGCTCAGGAATGAAAGTGATAATCCAGGACACGGTAACCTGGGATAAATGCCTTAAGGCTTACTTAATGAACATCATATCTGACGTCTTCCTGCCTTCTTTATTCTCCATGGTCAGAAATCAGTGCATTCGACCAGGTAGTCACTTCCATTATGTTCCCAAGGGAGGACTGCTGTTGTTTCTCACGGTAACGTCTAAAGTTACATTTGCCCTTTTTTAATGTAGTGGAGTAGAAGTATAAAGTACCATGACATGGGAATACTCAAGGTAAAAGTTTGTCCAAATAGTACTTGAGTAAATGTACTTGGTTACATTTCTCCTCTGCTTTTAGGGGATGTAAGTAGTGGAGATTGGGGACGGTTGAAACATGTTTAGAAGACATTACATTACACTCATTAACAGGTGGATACATCAATATGACATGTTGTGTTTAAGTGAACCGAAAATGTAGACTTCAAATATTTATATCAACGTGGAAATTAAGTAAAATGTCTGCAATTAAGAGTAAAGTGAACAAAAAATGTAGAATAAAATAGACTAAATATATATAAACAGAAAGAGTTAAAGTAAAAACTTGCAATACGAAAAATATGTGTCTAAAGACAAGAAGTTAAAGTCAAAATGAGCAACCAAAAACATATGGTACTTTAGTATATTTAGAAGTACTCAGATCTTGTAGTAAAAGTAGAAGTACTCAGATCTTGTACTTGAGTAAAAGGAGAAGTACTCAGATCTTGTACTTGAGTAAAAGTGGAAGTACTCAGATCTTGTACTTTAGTAAAAGTAGAAGTACTAAGATCTTGTACTTGAGTAAAAGTAGAAGTACTCAGATCTTGTACTTGAGTAAAAGTAGAAGTACTCAGATCTTGTTCTTGAGTAAAAGTAGAAGTACTCAGATCTTGTACTTGAGTAAAAGTAGAAGTACTCACATCTCGTACTTGAGTAAAAGTAGAAGTACTCAGGTCTTGTACTTGAGTAAAAGTAGAAGTACCAGAGTGTAGGAATACTCTGTTACAGTAAAAGTCCTGCATTCAAAATGTTCCTCAAGTAAAAGTAGAAAAGTATTCTCATCAAAATCTAGTGAAAGTAGTGACAGTAAAAGTAGTCGTTGTGCAGATTGGTCCATTTCAGAATAATATATATGATATGTTTTATAATGATTGATCATGAAAGTGTTCTCAAAGCTGGTAAAGGTGCAGCTAGTTTGAATGACTTTGTATACTGCAGGGTAGCTGGTGGATTTACTCCAGGTGGAACTAAAGTCTGATTCAACACTTGATTAGATTTCACATCATTCATCTGTGAAGTAACTGAAGGTATTAAATACATGTAGTGGAGTAAAAGTACACCATGTACCTCTGAACTGTAGTGGGGTAAAAGTACACAGCATAAAATGGAAATACTCAAGTAAAGTACAAATATCGCTAAATTGTACTTAAGTTCAGTATTTGATCAATGTACTACTCCACATATATCTCATACTTCTATCATTTGTCATGCCGTAAACAAGGTAGAACTCAGTATCGCAGTGTAGAAACACTGTTTTCGACAGCAAGCCATAAAAAGGATTTAATAAGTGACGGGAGGAAAGTCGTTTCTGTATAAATCTTAGTGAAGTACAAAGTACAAAGTATAGCATAACATGGAAATACCCAAGCAAAGTACAAATATCTCAATATTGTCTTTAAGTACAGTACTTGAGTAAATGTTCTTACTTCCCACCTTAGATAATCTATTCGAGTACTTTTCCCACCATTGAATTAAAAACAGGTCTCTTTAGGCCCAGTGTGACTGCTCTGTTATCTCCCCCATGTGCCGGGAGTAAAGTAACTAAAGGTATTAAATACATGCAGTAAAAGTACACCATTTACCTCTGAACTGGAGTGGGGTAGAAGTACAAAGTAGCATATATTAAAAATACTCAAGTTAAGAACAAATATCTCAAAATAGTACTTGAGTAAATGTTCTTAGCACCTGCTCCTTTCCACCATGCGCTATAAAAAACAGTATAAGTGTACATGTTTTGTTTTGTTTTGAAAGAGGGAGAGAGAGAGAGAGAGAGAGAGAGAGAGAGAGAGAGAGAGAGAGAGAGAATAGAGTAGAGGAGAGGTAGAGAGAGATAGAGAGAGAAGAGAAGAGAGAGACGAGAGAGAGAGAGAGAGAGAGAAGAGTAGAGATAGGAGATAGAGCGATAGATACAAGAGATTCGGGTGTGTCACGTCGAGTGGGGGGGGAGTGGAGAAGGCAGCTTCACCAATCTCATCGTTCTCCGGCTCGGTGCGGAGCTCTGAGAGGGAGCAGAGGAGCAGGCTGTACCGGGCATCATGACGCTGGATTCCGGACATAATGAGCGCCTTCAGTAAGTGCAGCGATGGGTGAGGAGGAAGGGGGAGGAAACAGTGAGCGGTGCCTCCAGCATGGCGTCACCTCTGCGCGCTTTCACCCGGACAGGGGACACTGTTGGAGAAGAAGAAGAAGTGACTCGCCACCGGCACCGGAACAACTCACTCCATCATCATCTCCAGTCCGAGAAGTAGCAGCATGGAGAAGTCGAGCAGGAAGCAGCAGGAGCGCAAAGAGAAGAAACCCGGCGGCGGGAAGCTGTTCAAGAGGAAGTCCCTGAAGTCTGTGGGCAGCTTTATGAGCAGAATCATCAAAACTTTGGGCACGCTGACGCGCTTTGGGGACGCGCAGCAGGGCGCGGAGGAGGACGACGGAGGGTTTGGAGATGGAGCTCCGTGCGTCCTGAGCTCCACGGGCATCAAGGAGGAGATGCATGTGAGCTGGGACCGAAACGTGAAGCCCTGCAGCAGCGAGTCCTGGTCCCTGAACACCGGCAGGGAGAAGCTGCGGCACCAGTACGCGGACAGAGTGCCCGGGGTGGGTAGGAGAGTTAACCTGAGTGTGTATTTAATTAGGTTATTAGAGAATACCCTCATTAAATAGCTCTCAGTGTATTATAGCAGATGTCAAATGTGTTGAGCAATGATACACAACCACAGCAACTGTTGAATATCAATAATCTCTTTTTGTATTTATTTATTTTTTAATTCTCTGTCAAAGCGTCTTTGAGTTTCCTGAAAAACGCTATACAAGTCTCATGTATTATTATTATTATTATTAATTAACTGTAAGATAATGTCACTGTGAGCCTGATATCATTATATTAAGACAGGAGTAGATTAGATGAGATTCAACTTCATTGTCATAGAGTACCAAGACAACGACATGAGCTGATAACCAGAAGTAAAGTGCAGAGTAACTTCTATAGTATAATATAATATCTGACTGACAGTATTTAGAGGTATTACACATTACTCCAGTGTAGAACATGTAATAGGCCTACACTATATGTCAGGTATAAATAAGAACGTTTAGTCCAGACACAATATAGAATAAAGAGAATTTTGTCTTTTTTTTTATTCATAAATGTAAATTTCCCCTCTGGGACGAATAAAGGTATTCTGATCTGAAATACTATGATTACATATGCCATTGAACATGCAGTATGTTGGTATGAAGTAAGTGGAAAAAGTCATTCCAGGGGAATATACAGTATGAAGGCTATAAAAGAAGACCAGAACACACAGTCAGGATTTGTTTTGTTTACCTATTTGAATAAATCCCATTTGGCTGCACCTGAATCCACCTGTTCCTGAAGCTATTCAGACAGAAAGCATCCAAAATACACATGTGGAAGTTTATCAGAATACCTTCATTAGTCCCACAGAGGGGGAAGTTACATTTCTTACAGCAGAAAAGAGCCAAAGACAGTTTATTGTTAACTAAGAAGCATGCATACAAAACATTTAAATATTACACAATTTACAAAATACACATCCTGTAACAGTTCTGAAGATGTAGCAGCCAGGTATATTTGCAGTTATTAACGGCATTAACAAATAGAAATGAAAATACTCATATAAAGTTCAGTCGACAGGTCGCTGTGGGGTTCAGTAATGAGCAGGTGGAAGAAGTACTTACTTAGGAAAGATTATTAATACCAGTCGAAATACTCCAATACTGGAAAAAGTCCTGAGTTAACAATGATATTAAGTAAAAGAACAGGAGTATTTCCATCAACATGAACTCAAACGACCAAAAACCGAAGTACTCGTTATGCAGAATGGCTCATTTAATGTTTTAGAATTATAAATATTTAAATATTCAGTTTTCATCTCTAAGAATTAGAAATAAGACCCTTTTTAATGTCGTAATTTGTCAATATGGAGCAAAGTTTGGTTACTGTGTACTACTGAGAAGATAAGTAGTATATAAACACATCACGTTATTTATGTAAAAAGTGTCCAACGGATGTCGTGGAGTAAACATGACATTATTTGAGATGAGCTGTGGATGGAGTAGAAGAATAAAGTGGCAGAAAAAGGGAAATATTCAATTAAAAGTACCTTCAGATTATATTTAAGTACAGTACTTCCCACCACGGGTAATAAGTGCACTTAGCAGTCTCACCGTTCCAGTGGTTATCATTAACTAAACACAACTCTGATACTATAAGTCCCTTAAGTGCACAGTCACCTCGCTGTTTAGTCGAACATAATCACATGTTATTCCCACAGTCTGCTTACATAGACACCAAGATGAAGTGCACGGAGCAGCAGTAACATTCAGACACTCAGAGAGGTGTCACACGGATTACATCATTTGCTATAATTGCCAATAGAATAGCAATCGTTATCTTCCCCTCATGCAGTTGGAGGCAAAAACTAAAACGTGTGTCACTGTCAAGGAAGAAGCTAACGAAGTCATGCACAGGAACTGGAATAATAACACAATGCCGACACTTGGGAATAAATATAAGATAAAATAGGATGTACTTTATTAATCCCAATTTGGGAAAACATTTAGTTGCAGAAGCATAAAACAAAACAAGGCATTGCACATAATAACAAATTAAAAGAGTAGAAATAATAATATCTCAAAATAGAAATAGAACTAAATCTCACACATATCACAATCATTTGTAAAGATCAACCAGAGCCTATGAGTCTGTTTTTCATTCCAATGCATATTCTTGATTGCCTGAACAAAAGCCAATATCATATACACTGTAACGTTCGACAAAGGGAGTCGGAAACAGGCTTCAAGTTATTAGGTTTAATAACTCCTTTGATAGCATGCAGTGCTTCTCAAAGTGTGGTCCGCGGACCACTGGTGGTCCGTGAGCGCCCCCTAGTGATCCGTGAGTATATTGGTAACATTTCACAATTTAAATACATTTATTTATTTAAGTTTTCCGCACTCTCGCGGGAATATCTCCGCAATGGAGCGAGCTTACGTTTCACTTTCGATTGCATGATATAGCCCAGCGCAACACCTTCATCACACATGTTGCCACTTGTTTGTACCTTTTTCAGGCGATTTGTAATCTGTTCTAGAAAAATGATGTGTTTTTGGATGTTTGTGGAGTTAGGTGGTCCGCGAGTGTTTTTTTTATTGGTTAAGTGGTCCTTGGTAGGAAAAAGTTTGAGAAACACTGGGTTACAGGTTACAGGTCGCAGGTTCAACATCACTCAGTACTCCACTCCCTAACTCACACACAAAAGCAGGGTCAACGTCACAACTCCCCAGCCCTCCCCCTCTGCTCCCCCAACCACAGGCCCGCACACCGACCAGCCTCACTGTGCAGCTCTGTGATTGGCAGAGAGATGGGGGATGCTTGAGTGGCCCACCCAGCACCCTATACAGGGTCGCTACAATACTTTACATATATATAGAAATATATTTTTTAGGATGAACCCCTTGAGATGCACCATCTCGTTTTCAAGGGTGTCCCGACAAAAGCAACGTCTTACATGAACAAAATAACAGAAAGCAAAGCATGACAAACAAGGATAAACCACGTACAGTCTGTGAAGTAAAATTCATGAAGTACAATCATTACAATTTGATAGGCGGTAGTGTCTCAGATCAGTTTCATCAATAACAAGAGCAGCTGAAAGTGAGATGATAATGCTGAAACATACCCAATGATGCATGAGATCTAATAGCATTCTGTTGGGGCTTTCAACATCAATGCTCTTCTGACAATATTTTGTTTTGCAGAGGGGACAGAGAAATACATCTGGACAGAGTGTCTAACCTTTGACGAGTAAGGTGCAAAATACTGCTTTAAATAAGGGGGATAGTTAAAGTATGCATTTTTTTTCTTTTTTTTAGAACAATATTTGTATTGAAGTTTTCAAATATAACGAACATTACACATACATGAAACGGTCAATAGGTGGCAGATACAGTGTACAATCAAATGAATAGGCATGTAAATAAACACAGGTCAGTATACATATATATATGGGGCGATGTTGGCGCAGTGGGTTAGAGCGTTGATCATCAGATCAAGGGGCGTTGTTGAACTCCAGTCGAAACCCGCCTTGGCCGCCAATGTGTCAGGCCGTTGTGTCCTTGAGCAAGACACTTCACCCGAATTTGCTCCTGTGGGTAATGTCCACCACAGTAATGACTCTTACATGTCTAATATGTGTAATGTGTCATTGTAAAGCGCTTTGAGCACCTGCAAAAGCGCTCTAATAAAAATGTTGATGCATTATTATTATTATTATTATTACTATACAGATGACACAGGGATAACTGAAACAATATGACGTTGGCTACTACACTTTATAATATTATTCCCGTTGCCCCGGTCTTTGATTTTATTGATCATTACCAACATTATTTTTCAAAAACTCCATGAAGCTCCCCCAGATATTTTCAAAAACTGCCATCCTTTAGTAATGTATGTTTGTTTTTCTAAAGCAACAGATGCTGACAGATCCTTAATATATGTATTCATACTTGGTTTGTTCACATTTTTCCCTCTACAGCTATTGCCCCTCTTAGCTTGTAAATAAGGAAATATGCATTTAAATATAAGCTGAAGCCAATGCATGTGTCTTCTTACATTTAATGAAGGCCATTTAGGTCTACAGAGTTTATTTCGCAGGGTTGCTGCTGTGATGCAAAGTGCGCTGGTTCATATAGGAGATGGTTTTCTCTCCACTTAAGAATCTCCCCCCCCACCCCAGAGGATCAGTGACAGTAGAGTCCTATCAGGAGACCCTCAGGCTTTTCCTCTCTGCCCACGCTGCAGATAGAGGAGAGAAAAACCAACGGTGCTTTATCCGCCTGCAGCTCTTTGCTCGGGATTTCTTTGAGCCGTAGTTCAAGGCAAGACGTAGATAATATGGAGTCAGCGAACACAAGAACTCCACAATGGATCTATTCTTGGAAATTATAATCATCCTGTAAGAAATGGCTACTGGAATATCCTGACCCTGTTTATGGAGAACTGTGTAGAGTGGTGCATGAATAAGTTGGCATTTTGGCAGTTCCTGTTTCCTCGTCTGGAAGTCAATGGTGTTCTGAAGGTGTGTTTGGTTAGGTGCCTGAATTAAGTTATGTGGTTAACACGAGCTGAAGAGATTTTAACGTTTTGTCCTGCAATATCTCTCACTGCCAGAAAGGAAGGCAACAGTCCACAGTGTTAAAATGTATTAACTATAAACCTTTTTAAGTTGTCAGTGTGCTACTTAACTCGTGAACGTTTGCTATCTAGCTACCTAGCAAAACACAGCTATCTATTTAAAAAGCTAACTAGCAAATGTTAGCTATCTATCTAAAAAGCTAACTAGCAAATGTTAGCTATCTATCTAAAAAGCTAACTAGCAAATGTTAGCTATCTATCTAGAAAGTTAACTAGCAAACCTTAGCTATAGATCTATCTAAAAAGCTAACTAGCAAATGTTAGCTATCTATCTAAAAAGCTTACTAGTAAACGTTAGCTATCCATCTAAAAAGCTTACTAGCATCAATGGCTATAGATATATATTAAAAAGCTAACTAGCAAACATTAACTATCT